CACCTAAAAATCGGAAAAAGTGAAAGAAGCCTAAACAGGTTGTCATTAGTTCCATATGCCTAGAAAAAAAGATGAATAACCGTTGTTTAGGCTTGTTTCAATTCGTTTTGTGGTTTTTTGGGTATGCATGCATATTCCCCAAAAAAATCGCAAATCTAAGTGAAAGAAGGCCAAACAAAGCAAAACAGGTGGTTTTGGGTTCCATCTGCATAGAAAGAAGACGATAAAGCTATAATTAGGGGTATCTCAATTCGTTTCATGTTTTTTGCTTCATATCCCAAAGAGAAGTGAAAGACGAATAACCGTTGTTTAGGCTTATTTCAATTCGGTTTGTCTTTTTTGGGTGTGCATGCATATTCACCCAAAAATCGCAAAACGAAGTGAAATCAGTCCATAAAAAGCAAAACACCTTGTTTTCGCTTTCATATGCATAGACATAAGACGAATTAGCTTTCATTGGACTTATTTCAATTCAGTTCGTGTTGTTTTGGTTTTTCGAGTAGTTTATTCACCCAAATATTGCAAAGCGAAAGGCCAAACAAAGCAAAACAGGTGGTTTTGGGTTCCCTATGGCTAGAAAGAAAACCAAAAAAGCTTTAATTGGGGGTATCTAAATTCATGTTTTTTGCATGTATATTCACCTAAAACTCCCAGAGAAGACTAAACAGGTTGTCATTAGTTCCATATACCTAGAAAGAAGACGAATAACCTTTGTTTAGGCTTATTTCAATTCGGTTTGTGTTTTTTGGGTGTGCATGCATATTCACCCAAAATAATAGCAAATCGACGTGAAAAGGAAAACAGCGAAAGGTGATTTTGCGTTCCATCTGCATAAAAAGCTTTAATTAGGGGGTCTCCATTCATTTCCTGTTTTTTGCTACATAGTCACCTAAAAATCCCAATGAGAAGTGAAAGAAACCCAAACAGTTCCATATGACCAGAAGGAAAAATGAGCGTTGTTCAGGCTTATTTCTATTCGGTTTGTGTTTTTTGGGTGTACATACATATTCACCCAAAAAAATTGCAGTGAAAGAACACCAAACAAAGCAAAACAGGTGGTTTTGGGTTCCATCTGCATAAAAAGAAGACGAAATAGCTATAATTGGGGTCATTTAATTTCGTTTCCTGTTTCTGCTCAAAATCCCAAAACGAAGTGAAATCAGTCCATAAAAAGTAAAACGCCTTGTTTTCGCTTTCATATGCGTAGCAAGAAGACGAATTAGCTTTTATTGGCCTTAATTCGTGTTGTTTGGGTGTTTTGTGTTGTTTATTCACCCAAATATCGCAAAGCGAAAGGCCAAACAAAGCAAAACAGGTGGTTTTGGGTTCCCTATGTATAGAAAGAAAACCTAAAAAGCTTTAATTGGGGGTATCTAAATTTGTTTTGTGTATTTTTGCATGTATATTCACCTAAAAATCGCAAAGTGAAGGTGCCCCAACGGGTTGCTGTTCCATATGCCTAGAAAGAAGACGAAAAACCGTTTTTTAGGCTTATTTCAATTCGATTTGTGTTTTTTGGGTGTGCATGCATATTCACCCAAAATATCGAAAAGGGAAAGAACGCCAAACAAAGCAAAACAGGTGGTTTTGGGTACCATCTGCATAGAAAGAAGACAAGCGTTGTTTAGGCTTATTTCGTCGGTTGTTGTTTGGGTGTGAATCATAATCACCTCAAAATCGCAAAACGAAGTCCAAAAAAGTCCCCCAAAAGCAAAGCACCTTGTTTTCACTTTCATATGCGTAGAAAGAAGACAGCTTTGATTTGGGTTATTTCAATAATTTCGTGTTTATTCTAGTGAAAGAAGGCAAAACAAGCGGAAGTTGGTTTTGGGTTCCATCTGCATAGAAAGACGAAAAACTTTTAATGGGTTTTGTTCAATTGAGTTCGTGTTTTTTCCATGCATAGTCACCTAAAAATGACTTTTTTGGGTGTGCACCCAAAAAACCGAAAAGCGAAAGAACGCCAAACAAAGCAAAACCAGGTGGTTTTGGTTTCCATCTGCATAGAAAGAAGATGAAAAGCAATGTTTAGGCTTATTACGTCTGGTGTTTTTTAGGTGTGCATCATATTCACCTCAAAATCGCAAAACGAAGTGAAATAGGTCCAAAAAAGCAAAGCACCTAGTTTTCGTTTTCATATGCATAGAAATAAGACAAATTAGCTTCGATTGGGGTTATTTCAATTAAGCGTGTTTTGCATATTCACCAGAAATCCCAAAGAGAAGTAAATGAAGTCCAAACAGGTTGTCATTGGAGCATAAGCGTTGTTTCCAAACAAAGCAAAGCAGGTGGTTTTGGGCACCATCTGCATAGAAAGAAGACGAAAAATTGGCTTATTTAAATTCGTTTAGTGTTTTTTCGGGGTGCATGCATATTCACCCAAAAATCGCAAAGCAAAGGTAAAGAATCCCGATTGAAGCAAAAGGGAATTTCTGATTTCATAGGATGAATAAGCGTGATTTGGGTTGATTTCACTTAGTTTCTGCTTCTTTAGGTGTGCACCCCAAAATTTGCCTCCATCTGCATAGAATGAAGACGTATAAGCTTTGATTGGACATTTTCACTAGGTTTCAGGTTCTCTGGCTATGCACACAAAAAACGCAAAGCGAAGTGAAAGAATCTCAAAGAAAGGAAAACTCGTTGCTTTTGCAGCCATCTGCAGAGAAAGAAGACGAATAAGCTTATATGGGTTGAATTCACTTGGTTCTTAAGGAGTGCAAGCATATTCACCCAACAAACACAAATAAGCTTATGTGTGTTGATTTTATGTTTGTTGGTTTCATTTTCTTTTTATGTAGATGGAACCCAAAAGACCTTTTTGCTTTGGTTGGGGGTGATTCTGGTGCACACCCAAAAACCACCATGCAAATAGAAATAAGCCCAATCAAAGCTTATTTGTCTTCTTTCTACGCATATGGAAGCGAAAAGACGTTGTTTTGTTATTTTGGTCTCATTACATACACTTTGAGATTTCAGGGGTCCATGGAACACGACGAAAAGCGAAATCCAAGATTCTTCTTTATATTTCTATAGAAAGATTTCCTCTTTCTATTGAGATGCAACCAAAACCCCTATGCTTGATTTGGGCTGAAAACAAACATTTCACACTTTGCGATTTATGGGGGTCCATAAAACACGACGAACTAATCGAAATCCAAGATTTTCCTTTCTATGTAGATGGAACGCAAAACAACCCGTATTGCTTCGTTTAGGATTATTACACTTCGCTTTGCTATTTCTGGGTGAATGAACACCGAAAGAACAATCCAAGCTTACATGTCCTCTTCTGTTAGGAGGGATTCTGGTGAACACCCAAAAAACACCATGCGAATTGAAATAAGCCCAATCAAAGCTTATTCGTCTTCTTTCTACGCATATGGAAGCGAAAAGAAGGTGTTTTGTTACTTTGGTCTCATTACATATATTTTGCGATTTTTGGGTCAAACACCAATTTTAAATAAGCCCAATCAGAGCGTTATTATCTTCTTTTTATGTACAGAAGCAAAACAATGTTTTGCTTCTGTTAGGAGTGATTCTGATGCGCACCCAAAAACCACCATGTGAATTAAAATAAGCCCAATCAAAGCTTATTTGTCTTCTTTCTATGCATATGGAAGCAAAAAGACGTTGTTTTGTTATTTTGGTCTCATTACATACACTTTACGATTTATGGGTTCCATAGAACACGACTTGAAATAAGCGAAATCCAAGATTCTTTTTTCTATGTAGGAACCCAAAACAACCTGTTTTGCTTTGTTTGACTTATTACACTTCGCTTTGCTATTTGTGGATGAATGAACACTGAAAGAACAATCCAAGCTTATTCGTCCTCTTTCTATGGAGATGGAACCCAAACCCCTATGCTTGATTTGGACTGTTAACGAACATTTCACTGCGATTTTGGGTGAATGTGCATTCTAACCCCAAAAACACCAATTTTAAATAAGCCCAATCAAAGCGTTATTATCTTGTTTTTATTTACATGGAACCCAAAACACTGTTTTGCTTCTGTTAGGAGTGATTCTGGTGCACACCCAAAAACCACCATGCGAATTGAAATAAGCCCAATCAAAGCTTATTCGTCTTCTTTCTATGCATATGCAAGCGAAAAGACGGTGTTTTGTTATTTTGGTCTCATTACATAAACTTTGCGATTTCTGGGTCAATGTGCATTAACACCAAAGCCACTTCCGGCCTGCCCAGGAGGTGGGTTTGCGGGCTTCACGCCCACCCCATGTAGCGGGGCTGGTTTCAGCCCCCGCGAGAACAGGGGAATCCCGGCCGGGTGTGCCCCCCCAGCCAGCCAATCGGCTGGCTGGGGGGGGCGTGGCCTGGGCTATTTAGGGCCGGCGCAGAGGGGGCTCGCCCTCTCTCTGCCGGCTAGCCCTCACGTTTTTCCTTACCAGCTGATCGCTTTGGGAATCCTTCGCAGTGCCCTCTTTACCTCGTGGAGCGTTTTCAGGAGCACCTTTTTTCACCTTCTGGAGAGCCTTTTCGCAGCAAGCCTTCGTCTTCACGGATCGGCTACTGCTGTTTACGTTTTAGAGCTGAAATCACTATCGGGAAATTCTTTTTCCTACTGCTGTTTACCTTTTAGAGCTGAAATCACTATCGGGAAATTCTTTCCCCCTACCCGCTTGCGTGCCGCTGGGAGCCAGAGCTGAAATTGCTGGGTTTTTTCTATTGTGGGGGGCTTATTCTCGTAGGTCTCCTGCCGCTTGAGATCAGATCGCCCATCGCTTCTGCAAGCCTCCAGAACTGCGGGGGGCTAACCAGCCACACTTACATCGCAAGCCGGGGCGACTTTCAAGTATCCAAAGGCGGCAGCGGTAACGTACTGAAGAGTTGGGGGATATTTTGCCCGGGTGCTTGGGGGACCAGTGTGCTCTGAACGCAAAGGGGAGGTTTAGCAGATTGCTCAGGGCTGCAGCGCTAGCTTTTATTCCCTACTTTGGCGGCTTACGGAGGTCGCTTAGCAGGGGTCGTTCTAATCACTAGCCTCACGCTGCGGCATCCAATCTGTTGGGGGTTTTATTAACAGCGCTTGCTTTGTTTGGGGTCTGTTTGTTGGGGGCTTGATTTCTGTTCAGCAGGAGGCGGCACCGTTGCCTAGCAACCTGTTGATTTCTTAGCCCACGTGATCCGGGCGCCATTTTGAAAAACGACCACGTGGTCTGGCGGCCGCCATTTTGCCATAGGCAACTACACGTGGGTCATTACTTTCCACAGGCTTACAGCTTTAGTTATCTGACGCAGCTAGGCTTAGACAATACCGGCAGCACAGAAAGAGGCTGCCTTGACAAAGTTATTCATTGGCTGGAATATTAACTGAAGTGCTGCAAGAGTTTATGAGGCTTTTCTTTAATTATTTTTAGGGATTTATATTTTCCAATAAAACTTTTCATTTGGCTGTTCTAGTTAAAGTTCTGAGTGCCCTAGGAGTTTGCCTTGCCAGAGCAATTCATTGATTGCAATTGTAATTTATTTAAATAAGCCTTTCTATATAAATTAGGTTAGATCTGTTATTTGTAAGGCTACATTTATCCGGCAATTTAATTCCTTTGGTTAATTAGCAAAGTGCTTAAGGGCTCCTGGGAGCTTTGCTTTGCTACTTAGGTTTGCTAAGTAGCTTTGCTGCATAAGTCAAGTTATCCCTCTTGCTTTAACAAGTTTAGCTTCTGTTTATTGGTTAATTTGCAAAGTGCTTAAGGGCTCCTGGGAGCTTTGCTTTGCTACTTAGGTTTGCTAAGTAGGTTTGCTGCATAAGTCAAGTTATCCCTCTTGCTTTAACAAGTTTAGCTTCTGTTTATTATATATCTAGCGGGCAATGAGTTTTAAGGGATTGGCATTAAGTAACAAGGAATAAACCGAATATATAAAAGAATAAAATAAAAAATTGAATAAGTGGTAGAGGGCTACCCATAATTGGTTAAACGTTGGTTAAAGGTTGCAAGTCCCCTGGGGATAGCGCACGCCTTCCTCTATTTTCCTGGTTCTAATTACAGTTTATTTAAAATATAAATCCAGTAAAGTTCTAGTTAATTAATTAATTAAATATTAGGGAAGTCAGATCGTTTTCCCCTAAAACCAACTTGAGTTTGCAACAGTGCAGACAATACTGAACTCATGTCATACTGATTACAGCTAAATACAATTGGTTGGGTAGGTAATTTCGGTTTCCAGTAAAAACTTTCCAGTGCACTAAATATTAAGGAAGTCAGATTGTTTTCCTTTCGGTTACTGATTTAAATTTTGCTGCACTGAATTTATTAAACCTAAAACCAGCTTGAGTTCGCAACAGTGCAGACAATACTGAACTTATGTCATACTGATTACAGCTAAATACAATCGGTTGGGTAGGCAATTTCGGTTTCCAGTAAAAGCTTGCCAGTGCAGGCAATACTGAACTACAGCATTATTGCTTTCTGCTCACGCATATAGGCTGAGCTAGCGTCACTGACTCTATTGAACCAGGTTAATCAAAAGCCTTTATCGCAGCTATGTCGGCTCAAGAAAACCAGGTAAATTCTGCAGCAGCCGGGGGGGTGCAGGGGAACCAAGAGGAGTCCCAGCCCTTGTTATACCAAGTAACCTGCAGGCTTTGGCACAGTTTTTCAATGATTTTCAGGAATTTTATAAGCAAAGGAGGTCCACGGGCCAAGTGGCACCCACGCCAGGGGCAGCAGCACCGACAACAGTCGCAACAGGGATGTCAGCACCAACGGCGGTTGCACCAGCGGCAGCAGTGCCAGCGCCATCGGCACCAATGGTGTTCTCCCAGGAGTTTATCCCGGACACTCAACTTAATGAGGTGGTACTCCCAGGTACCTCCGCGTCCACTATGGCAGTGCTGAGCGTAGCCAAAGAGGCAACAGCCCGGCAAAAGAAGAGCACCCGTGCTCAGTCGGCCACCTCAGGCAAGTCGAAAGGAGGCCAGAAGGGTGGCAGGAAGGGTAAGGCTAGTACTCTAGGTACCAAGGCTGCTAACCCACAAAAGGACCCAGGTGTCCCCAGTCTCTTTCAGATCCCACCCCCGCAAGCGGCACCAGCCGAGGGCGCATCAGAATCCACTTCGGATGAGGAAGTGCGGGGTCTGCAGGCGGTACAGGTGAACAGCGTACTGGATCAAGCCGCGCCAGAGGTCCTCTCTGGGAAGAGGAAGGAGAAGAGAAAACACACCAAAGAAGAGTAAGAAGAGCAGGCGGTCGGAATCGGAGGATGATTCAGGGACCTCTTCTTCTTCTGACTCCGATAGTGATGTTTCTAGGGAGGAATACTGGGGCCATGGGGAAGACTGCGTGGGTCTCCCTTCATGGGCCCATGAAAGGAGGGTCAATTCCTACCGTAAGTCCTTTAACGGGACCCTTGAATGGAAGGATGGCTCGCTAGTGCCGGACGTTAAAACCTCCACTCACCTATCTACAGATTTCATTGTGGGTAACCATTTATCTCAGAGGAAGAGGGACAAGATCCTTAATGGGGACTTTATTGATATGTTCAAATTGTTGCCTCCTGCTAAGTTGACAGGTAAAAGGAGAAAAGAGGCACAGCCATGGAAAATGCAGGTACAGAGCACCCAGAGTTGAGCGCACTTTTGACCATTGGCTGGATGGGTTCCAGGTATTTATGGGTGTCGTCAGCGCCGCTTATCCGAAACGAGAGATGCATTTAGTCGCCTACATGGCCCATGTGAGGAGGGCTAGGGATCTAGCGGGGGATACTGCCGCTCTAAATTACGATGAGGATTTCCGCAGAAATGCGTCGCTGTTATCTTCCACTCGTTGGGATCTGAGGGACCAGAACTATTGGTCTGAGCACGTAGGCCCCTACGTAGACAAGAAGCCCCAGGACTCTTCAAAATCCTGGAAGACCGCTCCGAGACAGAGGCGACTGTGCTGGGAGTTCAATAAAGGGGTTTGTGTACGGACGGTCTGTAAGTACAGCCATGAATGTGAAAAATGCCTCGGTAACCACCCAGCCACTGCCTGCCTGAAAGGGAGGCAGCCCTTTCGGGGTGGGAGAGGTTCCTACAACCAGGGACCCAGGGGTGGCCATGGAGCCCCTTCGGGACTTCAAGGGAACAGGCAGTAACTTCAATCTTGGCCTGGCCTTTTCCCCGTTAAGTTGTCTCCGTTAAAAAACCTCTTGAAGCTATATCCCAACAGGGCAGCAGCAGCGTATTTATGGGAAGGATTTAGTAACGGTTTTAGGATCCCTGTAGCTTTCCCCCCAAATTCAGGTGATCCACCAAACCAAAAATCAGTGAGGGAGATGCCCGAGGTTGCCCGAAAGATTAGTAAAGAAATTAATGCAGGTAGGGTTGCTGGCCCCTTTTTAACTCCCCCAATAGAAGGCCTTCACATATCCCCGTTAGGTATAGTCCCTAAGAAAGCGCCTGGTGAATTTCGCATGATTCACAACCTTTCCTACCCAAAGGGAGGGTCCGTCAATGATGCGATACCTCAGGAGCTTTGTACGGTTAAATATGCCACTTTTGACCAAGCGGTCAAGCTTATTCGCAAATTCGGCAAGGGCGCGCTTTTGGCAAAATGCGACATTGAATCGGCCTTTAGACTCTTGCCAGTTCATCCGGAAGACTTCCGGTGGCTGTGTTTCAAATTCGAAGGGGTTTATTTTGTGGATAAAGCAATGCCCATGGGCTGCTCAGTCGCCTGTGCAGCCTTTGAGGCATTCAGCACCTTCCTGGACTGGGCGCCTCGCTTTAGAACTGGATCTGAGGGCGTGTCGCACTACCTGGATGACTTTATCCTCGTCGCCAATAGCAGGCGTAAGTGCTCAGAGCTCCTTGAAGCCTTTACATCATTAGCAGGGGAGTTGGGAGTTCCCTTGGCTGCCGACAAAACAGAGGGTCCAGCTACAACCATGGTTTACTTAGGTATTGAATTGGACACGGTCGCTCAGACCTCAAAACTTCCCAGAGAGAAGCTGATTACGCTTGGCGACCTCATTCGGCAGCTCCTCCCCCTGAGAAAGGTAACACTAAGGCAGATACAGTCACTGCTAGGCCATTTAAACTTTGCTTGCCGCGTGGTTTCCCCTGGCCGTCCATTTTGTGGCCGCCTCGCGAGGCTAGCAGCTGGCCTGCGATCCCCCCATCATAGGGTTCGCTTATCTAAGGAGGTAAAATCTGACTTGGAAGTCTGGTTGAAGTTTCTGGAGAACTACAACGGTATTTCCTTGTGGCAGGAGAACTTGTTGCTGCAAGTGGACTTCCAGGTTCATTCAGATGCTTCAGGCTCCTTAGGGTTTGGCGTTTACTTTAGGGGGCAATGGTGTGCCCAACATTGGCCGTCAGCGTGGCAAGGGACCCCCATAACCAGAGATTTAACCTTCCTAGAATTCTTTCCGATTGTTGTCGCAGTGCACTTGTGGTCTGAAGTCTTTAGTAACCATAGGGTTTGCTTCCACACTGACAACCAAGCAGTGGTAGGAGTCCTTTCCAGGCAGGCCGCACGGTCATCAAGAGTAGGTGCTCTTCTGCGCTCCTTCATTCTCAGGTGTCTAGAACTTAACATCCACTTCTCCGCCAAATTTGTGCCTGGCGTGAACAATGACATCGCGGATGCCCTATCTCGTTTTCAGATGGACCGCTTCCGCTCGTTAGCACCGGAGGCTCAGCTGCTTCCTCAGCCGTTCCCGGAACATCTGTGGAGTCATGGGAACCAGAAGTGATTCAGGGAGTATTAGCCTCATTGGCTCCGTCCACTTTAAGATCTTATAAGAAGGCGTGGTCGGATTTCCTTAATTTCTGTAATAAATCCCGCGCCGGCAGGAGCAACGCCCCCCCCGTCAAGTCCGAGGTTTTATCATACTTGGTTTAAGACGTTTGGGCTGCGCCCCTAGAACTATCAACCTTCAGGCAGCGGCAATATCATTCTTTTGCAAGGTGGTATTTTCCTCTGATCCATGCGCTGATTTCGTCATACGAAGGACCCTAGAGGGCTGGCGCAGGCTGCAGCCCCCGAGCCATGACTTAAGGAGGCCAATATCATTCGACATCCTTTTCCAAATTCACAAAAAGCTGAGAACGGTCTGTTGGTCGAAGTATGAGGCGCGCTTATTTTCAGCGGCATACTCTATCGCCTTCTTCGGTGCGATGCGTGTGGGTGAGGTGGTTTACGAAGAGGGCCAGCGCGGCTCTTCCCGGGGGTTGCTACTGAGCGACCTTACGCTCTCTAGGGAGGATCTAGTATTACGAATACGTAGCTCCAAAACAGACCAGTACGGGAGGGGGGCCCTGGTTCGGCTTCTGGCAACCGGAGAACCAGGCCCGTGCCCTGTTAAGGACACCAGGCGCTTCTTAGATCTGAGGACCAATTCGGCAGGGCCTTTCTTTATCCACGCAGATGGCTTACCCCTGACGCGTCAACAGTTCACGCGGGTTATGCGCTCAACACTGGCTGCATGTGGCCTTCCCCCTGCAGATTTCGCGGCGCACTCGTTTAGAATAGGAGCGGCCACCACAGCAGTGCACCTGGGCCTTACTACGGAGAGGGTTAAGGACTTAGGCCGCTGGAAATCGGACGCTTACAAACGCTACGTTAGAGGAAATCTGTGACGGTTCAACTGGGGTCAATTGACCATGGCCTGTTCTTTTAATCTCTTGCAGGTGTTATGGGGGTCCGCGTCTGGATATTCGGGCACAGCATTGTGCATTGGGCCAGGGTCCGCGCCATCAATTCCGGTCTCGGGCCACGCCTCGGCTTACCGTCTGGCATCACTTTATCCTGGGTTGCGCGAAGGGGAATGCGCTGGGCTGAGATGTTGCCCGCATTTAAGACCAGAGCAGCAGCGGAGGGCCCCCCGGATGCTTTGCTGATACAATTGGGAGAAAATGACCTTGCTTACAGGAAGGCAGTTGACTTGCAGTGGCACATTTTCAGTGACTTTGAGGAGCTTAAGGCCTCTTACCCGGACATGACAATCATTTGGGCCTCTTTGATGGAGAGGCGGGTCTGGAGGGACTGCAGGTGCCCGATAGCCATGAATAAGGCGAGGAAAGCCTTGGATCGGGCGGTGGTGCGTAGAGTGGCAGCCCTGGGTGGGAAGGTCATTGAACATCCGGGCATTCGTTTCAACTGTGAGGCCCACAGTTTGATGGCGTGCATCTTTCCGATGCTGGAAATGATGTTTGGCTGTGCGACATAGCGAAGGGGATAAGGGATTGGTTTCAGGCATGAGAGTATTGGCGGCGAGCGATTGCTCGTGTGGCGGTAGGCATTGGTAAGAAGGGGTTAAGAGGATGTGGGGGGGAGGAGCGCCATCACCTCCCCCCAGTGAACGAAGGGTGGTCCGTTAAAGGACTCCGGGGGGCGTGGCCCTGTCCGAAGCCTATGGAGGTGTGGGCCAAAGGCACGCCCCAGAGCGGTGACCCGGGGGAGCTCCTAGTCGACGTGCCTCGGCAGGAGACTCCCGATATAGTGTTAACCCTTCCCCGTGTCTCCAGCAAATGGGCTGGAGCCGGATAGTCGATAGGACCAATGCCTAAGCCAATGCCTCTCATTCCTGAACTCAATAAAGTTGTGGCCTAATTCGCCCAATTAACCTTAAATTATGGTGTCTGGTGTCTTTATTTATCCTGGCGGGGGCGGGAACTCGCCACGCAAAGCCACTTCCGGCTTGCCCAGGAGGTGGGGTTGCGGGCTTCACGCCCACCCCACGTGAGCGGGGGCTGGTTTCAGCCCCCACAAGAACAGGGGAATCCCGGCTGGGTGTGCCCCCCCAGCCAGCCAATCGGCTGGCTGGGGGGGCGTGGCCTGGGCTATTTAGGGCTGGCACGGAGGGGGCTCACCCTCTCTCTGCCGGCTAGCCCTCACGTTTTTTCCCACCCTCCCTCCCTCTAGGTAGGTTTTAGGCAGGTTTCTGACTTTGCTATGGACTTCGGTCTGTCGCCGCAAGGGGCATGGTAGGAATTTTTCCCTATTGGCAATTTACAGCCTTTTGGTTTTTTCGCCTACCTCGTAGCAACTCGTCACAACTCTTCGGCATTGGCGGTAGGCATTGGTAAGGCGGTAGGCATTGGTAAGAAGGGGTTAAGAGGATGTGGGGGGGAGCGCCATCACCTCCCCCCAGTGAACGAAGGGTGGTCCGTTAAAGGACTCCGTGGGGCGTGGCCCTGTCCGAAGCCTATGGAGGTGTGGGCCAAAGGCACGCCCCAGAGCGGTGACCCGGGGAGCTCCTAGTTGATGTGCCTCGGCAGGAGACTCCCCGATATAGTGTTAACCCTTCCCCGTGTCTCCAGCAAATGGGCTGGAGCCGGATAGTCGATAGGACCAATGCCTAAGCCAATGCCTCTCATTCCTGAACTCAATAAAGTTGTGGCCTAATTCGCCCAATTAACCTTAAATTATGGTGTCTGGTGTCTTTATTTATCCTGGTGGGGGGCGGGAACTTGCCACGCAATAATGCAGCAGTATGATTGGTTGGCAGGAACCACCCAATCATTCTCCAGATAGAAGCGAATCCACAACCTAATTGGGTTACAGTAGAATTCCAGAATTAGCCAATCATGTGCAGCCCATTGTGTAAATAATGTATATAAAGCAGATACTTTGAGGGGACTTTCATTCATTCCTCCTCACCACTATGAGCTGAATAAAGAGCATGAAATCACTTTGTGAGTATATTTCAAATTGGTTTCAGGTTCTTTAGGTTTGCATGCATATTACCCCAAAAAACACAAAGTGAAGTGAAAGAATACCAATCAAAGCAAAACAGGGTTTGTTTGGTTTCATATACATAGAAAGAAGACGAATGTTTCTTTCACTTTCATTTTTTTGGGGTGTGCTTGCATAGAAAGAAGACGAATATGAGCGAGAGAGATAAAAAGATAGAAGTAAGCGAGGGAGGGAAGGAGAAAGCGAAGGAAAGAAGAGAGAGAGGGAGAGAAAAGGGAGGGAGGGAGAGAAGGAAAGAGAAGGGAGAGAGAGAAGGAGGAGAGAGAGAGAGAAGGAAGGAGAAAGACAGAGAGAGAGAAGGAGAGAGAGAGAGGGAGAATAAAGGGAAAGAGAGAGAAGGGGAGAGCTCAGAAGGAAGGGAAAGAGAGAAGAAAGGAAGGGAGAGAGAAAGCGAAGGAAGAGAGAAAGAGAGATGGAGAATGAGAGAGAGAAGGAGAGAGATAGAGAGTAGGAAGGGAGAGATAGAGAGAGCGTGAAGGACGGCAGAGAGAGAGAAGGAAAGGAGCAAGGGAGAGAGAGAAGGGAGGGAGAGGGAGAAAGAGAGAAAGAGACATATGAAAGGGAGAGAGAGACTGAAGGAAGAGCGGGAGAGAGAGAAGGAAGGAGAGAGAGAAAGAAGGGAGAAAGAGAGAGAGAGAAAGAAGGATGAGAGAGATAGAAGGAGAGAAAGAGAAAGAGAAGGGGGAGAGAGAGAAGGAAGAGAGGGAGAGAGAGAAAGAGAAGGAATGGAGAGAAGGAAGGGAGAAAGACAGAGAGAGAGAGAGAGAGAGAGAGAGAAGGAAGCGGAGAGAGACAGAGAAGAAGGAGAGAGAGAGTAGGAAGGGAGAGATCGAGAGAATGAAGGATGGCAGAGAGATAAGGAAGGGAGAGATAGAGAGAGTGAAGGACTGCAGAGAGAGAGAAGGGACAGTGAGGGAGAGAAAGAGAGAGAGAGAGAGAGAGAGAGAGAGAGAAGGGAGGGAGGGAGAGGGAGAGAGATAAATGGAGAGAGAGAGAAGGAAGAGGGAGAGAGGGAGAGAGAGAAGGGAGGGAGAGGGAGAAAGAGAGAGGAGAGAGAGAGATAGAGGAAATGAGGGGGAGCGAGAAAGAGAGTGAGAAGGAAGGAAGAGAAAGAGAGAGAAGGGAGGGAGGGAGAGAGGAAAGAGAGAGAAAATGAAGGGAGAGAGGTAGAGAGAGATAGAGAAGGGAGAGAGAGAGAAGGAATGAAGAGAGAGGAGGAAGGGAGAAAGAGAGAGAGAGGGAGAAGGACGAAAGAGAGAGAGAAGGAGAGAGAAGGAAGGGGCAGAGAGTGACGAGAGAAGGGAGGGGAGAGAGAGAGACGAGAAAGAGGGAGAAGGAATGGGAGAGAGAAGGAAGGAGAGACAGAGAGAGAAGGAAGGAGAGAGAGAGAAGGAAGGGAAAGAGGCAGAGACAGAGAAGGAAAGAAGAGAGAGAAGGAAGGAGAGAGAGAGAGAGAAAGAAAGAAGGAAGCGGAGAGAGAGCAAGAGAAAGGAAGGAGAGAGAGGAGAGAAGGGAGAGAGAGAGAGAGGGCGGGAGAGGAAGAGAGAGAAAGAGAGAGAGAAAGAGGAAATTTGGGGGGAGAGAGAAAGAGAGAGGGAGAGAAGGAAGGGAGAGGGAGAAGGAAGGGAGAGAGAGAGAGAGAGAGAGAGAGAGAGAGAGAGAGAAGGTCGAGAGAGAGAGAGAGAGAGAAGGGAGGGAGAGGGAGAGGGAGAGAGAGAGAGAATGAAAGGAGATAAAGAGCGAGAGAAGAAAGAGAGAGAGATAATGAGAGAAGGAAGGGAGAGGGAGAGAGAGAGGGAGAGGGAGAGAGAGAGAGAAGGAAGGGAGAGAGGGAGAGGGAGAAAAAGAAAGAGAGAGAGAGATAGAGAAGGGGAGAGAGACATTAGGAAGAACTTCCTGACAGTAAGAGCTGTTCGACAGTGGAATTTGCTGCCAAGGAGTGTGGTGGAGTCTCCTTCTTTGGAGGTCTTTAAGCAGAGGCTTGACAACCATATGTCAGGGGTGCTCTGATGGTGTTTCCTGCTTGGCAGGGGGTTGGACTCGATGGCCCTTGTGGTCTCTTCCAACTCTATGATTCTAAGGGAGGGGAGGGAGAGAAAAAGAGAGAGAAGGAATGGAGCGAGAGAAGGAAGGGAGAAAGAGAGAGGGAGAAAGATAATGAGGAGGGAGAAAGAGATAGAGATAGAAAAGATAGAGATAGAGATAGAGATAGAAAAGGAGATAGAGATAGAAAAGGAGGGATAGAGATAGAGATAGAAAAGGAGGGAAGAGAAGGAGAGAGAAGGGAGAGAGAGGAGAGCGACGGAAGGGAGACAGAGAGAGAGAAAGAAAGAAGGAAGCGGGGAGAGAGAAGAAGAAGGAGTGAGAGAGAGTAGGAAGGGAGAGATAGAGAGAAAGTGACAAACGGCAGAGAGAGAGAGAAGGGATGGGGCTGGAGAAAGATAGAGGAGAGAGAGAAAGAGGAAATTAGGGGAGAGCGAGAAATAGAGACAAATAGAGAGAGAGAGAGAATGAAGAGAAAGGGAGAGAGAAGGGAGGGAGAGGGAGAGAGAGAGAGGAGAGAGAGAGAGAGAGAGGAAATTAGGAGAGAGCGGGAAAGAGAGTGAGTGATAAGGAAGGGAGAGAAAGACAGAAAGAGAGAGAAGGGAGGGAGGGAGAGAGAGAGGGAAGAGAGAGAGAGAAAATGAAGGGAGAGAAAGAGAGAGAGAAGGAAGGGAAGGAGAGAGAGAGAAGGAAGGGAGACAGAGAGAGGGGGGGAGAGGGAGAAAGAAGAAAGCGGAAAGAGTGAGATAAGGGACGGAGAGGGAGACAAAGAAAAAGAGAGACAGAGAGAGAGGGGGGAGGGGGGAAGGAGGGAGGGAGGTGGAGAAAGAGAGAGGAGAGAGAGGAAATTAGGGGGAGAAAGAGAGAGAGAGTGAAGGAAGTTCTAAGTTTTTAAAAAGAATAGCAACAATCTCTTCAGAACAAAAAGCCAAACTAATAAATCAGGTGATAACAGATGAATGTAAGATCCAAAAAGGAACAAGACAAGGATGCCCATTATCACCATTATTGTTTATTTTGGTCTTGGAAGTACTTGCCAAAAACATAAGAGCAGATATAGGTGTAAAAACTGGGAAAAGTGAATTCAAGTTAAAAGCGTATGCAGATGACTTAGTGATAACAGTGGAAGAACCTAAAACTTCACTCCCTAAAGTAATAGAAAAAATTCAGAAATTTGGGGAAGTGGCAGGATTTAAGCTAAATAGGAATAAAACTAAATTATTAGTTTAAAACATGAAGGAAGAAGAAAGAACCGAATTAGAACAAAACATTGAGATTGAAGTCCATAAAAAGGTTAAATATTTAGGGATTTGGTTAAGAAACCTATTTAAAAATAACTATGAAAAAATTTGGCTTGAGGTAAAAAGAGATTTAGAAATATGGAGCAGAATGAATCTCTCAATGTTAGGAAAAATATCGGCAATTAAAATGAATGTGTTGCCAAAAATGCTATTTCTTTTTCTTTCTTTTTTTTAAATAATTTTTATTAAATTTCCAATTAACAAACCAATCATATCACATTAATTCCAAATTATACCAATACATAATAAACTCCAAATATTTAGTTGAATTTTAAATTTTTGTTGGGGGTATCCATGCTTCGAGTTAGGAAAGGGTCCAATCATCTCATATTTCTGCTGCTTTGATGTTCACATGTCCCATCTTTCTGTCTCTTTGCTGTTATCCT